AATTACTATGCTCGCTTTGACAAATATATATGTGGTATTGGACGAAAATTAATTTGACCAAAAATTTATTTATACTTAATTATAAAATTCATGTGTTAGAGCAATTATAATAAAGGGTAATGGTAGTGGGTAGTAAAAATATTTTATGTATTTCAAAAAATGTTACCAGCTTTTCAAAATTTCAAATATAACAAAATATTTGAATTTTTATTTTCGAAATTTTTATTCTTCCAATTTTACCCTTATGATATATGATATATATATGATATACATCTAATGTATACCTATATCTSATATACATCCAATTTATATATGATATACATCATCAAATCTATATCTAATGCACATTCGATGTAATTCTGATATACTTCCGATATACATTCGATGTACCCCTAATATACAATATCAGATGTACCATGATATACATTATCAGATATACTACTAATATACATCAAATGTACGTATTATATATATTTAATGTACTTCTAATTTATGCTATACTAAATATATTTGCAACTGATATACTAACTATAAGACATATCAAATGTTTAACTTTTAGTGGTATATCAGTGGTTTAAATTCTAGTTTATCATTTCAATTTGTTGATTAATATATCAATATTATCAACAAGGTCGATTACTATATCACTACTATTTATTCAATATTAATATTAATTAGATACTAAATATAAGAGATATCGAATGTTTAAATTTATAAAGTATATCAAAATTTTAACTTGTCTTTTTGGACGTGCATGATTCACATCAACTTTTATATAATAATTTTACATTTCAAAAAAATCTTGCAACATTGTTTTCATAAAAAAAAAGGGATATAATAGTATGATATCAACACACATATCATAGTTATATTAGAGGTATATAAGTGGTAAATTAGAAGCATATTAAGTATATATCAATSATATATTAGTGATAAATCGTATAATCATATAAGAAGTTATATCAGTAGATACTATAGTTATATCAGTGGTATATCATTTGTATATTAATGATAAATTAGAGACATATCAAATATATATTACATATATATGTATTGTATCARCGTGATAAATCAATGGTTATCATACGTATATTAGTGGTAAGACATGTTAGAAGTTCAGTAGATATCATAGTTATATCAGAAGTAAATCAATTGTATATAATTATTATATAAGTAGTATATCAGAGATATATATAAGTGGTCATATATATTACAGATATATTAAATGGTGAATTTGTAATTTTACAATTGGACCTTCGTTTTTTCTGAAAAAAAATGTTATATTTGAAAAAAATTAAATGTGGTGGCTATTTTGCTTATTTTACTAAAATATTTTGCTATATTTGCAAGTGCCCCTATAATAAATTGAAGTTATTTGTTTTTTTTTTTTAATCGAACTAGCTAACTAGGAGTGTTCAAAAAATACGAAAAATGGATCAACCCAACCCATACAATTTATATGTTTTATAAACTTGTTTGGGGGTTCAAATAAATGAAAATTATATGGGTTGGATTGGTTCAAAGGTTAACCCAAAATAAGTTTGGGTGAACCAAACCAACCCGAATATATTACAAATTTTAAAATTATTATTTTTACTCACCATAAAAATTATATATAGTTAAATTTATTGTAATTTTATTTCGTTCAATAATTCTTTATAGATTATTTATTCTACAGTGACTTTTAAAAACAACATTATAAAGTTTTTCGAATATACTTTTTCACCATATAAATAAATATCGATTTACGGATCTTGATTTAATATTAGACAATATATAAATAAGTATTAAGATATTATTATTTATTTTTTTTTATGATACAGTATTTGAAATTATAACACGATAACACGGACCAATCCGRTTGGGTTGGGGTCGAATTTATTATTTAATTATAGTTGTTTGAGTTGAATAAATTTAGGATCCGAACAATTAGGTTAGATTTAAAAGTATCTTAATCTAGTCCAACTCAATTCATGAACACTAAACAGTCCAGTCAAACTATAAAAATAATGTTACTGATTTGAACAAAGCTTAACCGATTAGAGTAGTGTATATCAATAGTTTTCCTTTGGTTTCGTAGGGTTGGAGTTATACTCCTACACTCAACTAAATAAATATTGAATTAATTAATGCAAATTTTTTCTGGGCGAAATCTTATCCAACATTTGTTTAATAAGTAAGAGGAGATGAGATGAGAACAAGAACATTACGTGTTTTTCCTCGTTGGTATTATTTATTAATATAAGCTCCAAATACGAAACTTAAATGAGTTCCAGCTGCTTACTTTTCGTTATTTAAAAAAAAAAAAAGAAAAAAAGACCAAAACTTAGATTCCATTCCAAAGGTGACATAAATATATTTAATAACTAAGGTCTCAGCTTGACGACCACCACCCACTCAGAAAAGGACACCTGTAACCTCCAGGATCCAACGGCGGGGGGTGGGGCCGTGAGCATGGATAGAGTCACAGCCGGCGGTAAGAAAAATGGAATTAGCAGTTTGTTTTGGTTAGAATTTAATTGAGATGGGGTTGCAGCAAAAACAAATGAGTTTTAAAATTAAGATCCTTTCTGTGAGTTTGCAGAGTGGCTGTGTACTGTGTGAAGAGACTCGATGGGCTGTGGGCAGATATGTCCTGCCCCTCAAATCTATCCAAAATGTACTGCCACTTCTCTCTCTCTCAATCTCAACCAAAAAATTTATAATAATTTATACCATTTTCAACGTTAAATCATAAATTTACATAACATSATATTTAGTGAATATTTTTACTTGTCGACTWGATGGACAAATTACATGTCGGCCATTACTAAATATTTGTAAAAAAATATTAGTGGGTAATAAAAAGTAAAAATTTTATTACGCTACAAACCACTATTAAAAATTTGACAACTATTTCATTTGAAAAAAAGAAAAGAAAAATATCTCTCTCTGCAGTCTATACATTCACTATCTTACCTCTCATTGTCAATAAGCAGCTAAATGTTGTTTAATAAAAGATTCATAATGTCAAGCAGTAGATTATTATTACGAGTGATGTGGAGATTCGATACCATGACAATATAGGATAGAGGATGGAAAAGAAAAATGGGTAGAGAGGGGTGGGAATGGTGGTGGGGTTGAAAGGAAAAGTAAAAGACGTGGTGGGTGTGTTTCTCAAATACACAGATCCCTATGGATTGCAGGGATACTACCCAACATTTGCTTATTTTGCTTCCTCCAATTCATTCTCTTTGTTTAGTTTAAAGAGACCAACCCCTTTGCCTCTTCTCCTCTACAACTTCCCTTCCATTCAACCACAACACTTGGGTAATGCCATCCCCTTCTTCTTCTTCTTCAACCTGTGTCCAACTTTGTCATTTCTTGAATCCACATTATTATTGTTATTATTATTATTTTCATATCATATGGTATGATTGCCTCTGTTTTTTCCCTATATATATAATTTCTCCCCCAATGATTGTTTTCGCTTATTGCAATTTGCAGCACAAGGAGGCGAGGGAAGAAAAATGAAGTCGAGGAACGAGAATAACAGTAACAACAACAACAACAACAATAGTTGGTTGGGATTCTCTCTGTCGCCCCACATGAAAATGGAGCTCACCACTCCCTCTGATCCTCACACTCACTCCTACAATAACTCCTCCTCTGCTGCTGCTCCTCCTCATCCTCACACTCCCACAAGCTTCTACTTGTCCCCTCATTTCAACAACTCCTCTGAATTTTTCTACCCCCAGAATCCCAATCCCCCTTCTCTCTCCGTCATGCCCCTCAAATCCGACGGCTCTCTCTGCATCATGGAGGCCCTCTCCAGATCCCAAACCCAAGGTCCCTTTTCACTTGATTACTTGCATTTTCTGTTTTGGGCTTCTTGTTAATTTTTGTTTGGTTTTTGGGGTTTAAGGTATGGCGCCGAAGCTGGAGGACTTTCTCGGGGGGCGTGGCTATTTCAATCAGAATGCGGAATCGGAGCCCGAGAGGGAGCATTCATTGAATAGACACCAGAATCAAGACCACCACATTTTAATCCACAATTCCCATCATTACTATCCTGGATTGGTTCCTAATTCCGTTGCTGCAATTGGAAGCTGCCATCCCCAAATCCCCCAGATTCCCTCCGAGGACGACGAAATCCCCTGCCTTACCAACTGGGTCTCTCGTCCTCACTTCAATAATCATCATCATCCTCTGGTGGACCACCACATCGCCGCCGGCGTCAATGACGGCGCCGGAATGACCTGCGGGGATCTCCAGTCGCTTAGCTTGTCGATGAGCCCCGGTTCTCAATCCACCTCTTTCCCGGCTTCCGGCCAGATCTCCCCCACCGGAGTAGACGCCTCCGCCGCCGCCTCCGCCGTTGAAACTAAGAAAAGAGGCCCCGGAAAGCTCTGCCAGAAGCAGCCCGTTCACCGCAAATCCATTGACACGTTCGGCCAGAGAACCTCCCAATATCGTGGCGTCACCAGGTTTTTTTCCTCTATTTTAACAACTTCTTCCTAATTTATCTCGTGATTTTATTTTAGGTGCTGATTATTATTATAATTTTTTTTGTTTTAAAAAAGGCATAGGTGGACTGGGAGATATGAAGCTCATTTATGGGATAATAGCTGCAAGAAAGAAGGCCAAACCAGGAAAGGAAGACAAGGTTAGTTCTCAACGAAAAAAAAAAAATGAAGCATTTTCGAGTTTTTTTTTTGTTTTTTTCATCCTCTGAAAGGCATTTTCCATTTTGGCGTGATTCGTGCTGCTTGTTTCTTTTTTTTTCATGGTCCAATCTTGATGGTGATGCCATTTGAGTCGAACCAGTTTATCTTGGTAAGTTTCTTTTCACAAAATGTTTTTATATTTTAAAATAGCTAAACTTAATTGCTGAATTATTGTGTTGTTTGAAGGTGGATATGATATGGAAGAAAAAGCTGCAAGAGCTTACGACCTTGCTGCCCTCAAGTACTGGGGACCCTCCACCCATATAAATTTTCCAGTATGGTTCTTCAAAAATAATGAACTTCTAACTTCAAAGCTTTTAATCTTTCAAAAATCAAAACCCCATTGTGTTCAAATTGTTGTTCTCTATTTTTGGCAGCTGGAGAATTACCAGACTGAACTTGAAGAAATGAAGAACATGAGCCGCCAGGAATACGTTGCTCACTTGAGAAGGTAAATAGTAAATAAATAATAAATTCAAGATTTACTTTTTTCTCTGCTGCTGATGATATTGTTCGTAATCGTATATTCCCATGGGGTTTTCCTTTTTCTCTCTTTTATGGCAGAAAAAGCAGTGGCTTTTCGAGGGGCGCTTCAGTTTTCCGTGGAGTTACAAGGTTCTTTTCTTTTATTGATCAAAATTTAATCTTTAGTTTACAGAGTTTATATTTATTAATGTAATTAATTTCTTGAACAGACATCACCAACATGGAAGATGGCAGGCGAGGATTGGGAGAGTTGCCGGAAACAAAGACCTCTATCTTGGGACATTTAGTGAGTTCTCTTTCTTTATTTTTATTTTTATGAGTAGCGAATAAATGTTTGGATGGAAATTAATGTGCTGTCGGAACAGAAGTCACTCCAAATTCCRAAATCTTTGTAGAAAAATATTTTAAAAATTAATGTATTTTTAATTTGACAAGATTTGGACCTCATGGTGAAGGAGTCTAGTATTTTTTATTTTTGTATGTATATAATATATGCGAATGCGATGGATTTGACGAAAAAGAAAAAAACAAGTGGTGGTGACATTAAATGAAAATTTTATAATTTGTCAGGCACGCAAGAGGAAGCGGCTGAGGCATATGACATAGCAGCAATCAAATTCCGCGGTGTAAATGCAGTCACCAACTTTGACATTTCCAGATACGATGTCGACAGAATCATGGCCAGTAATACCCTTCTGGCCGGAGATCTTGCTAGAAGGAACAAGCAAATCGAGCCCGGTAATGAGGCTGCCGCAGCCCCCGCGCCCCTCGGTTTCGACTCGTCGACCACGCAGAACAACAATGCCGGGATCAATCCTGACGAGGCCAGCAATGGCGCCAATGGGAATGGTAGTACTGATTGGAAGATGGCATTGTATCAAAACCAGCAGCAGCAGCAGGCTGCTACTTGTGTTGCTGAATCACTTGACCATCACAAGTCCTCCATGACAGCTGCATCGGGGAGCTATCGAAACGCGTCGTTTTCGATGGCGTTGCAGGACTTGATTGGGATCGAATCGATGAACTCGAATAATAATAATAGTCATGGCATTGATGATGATGTAGGCTGCAAACAAGTGACTCATTTTTCGAATTCGTCGTCTCTGGTGACAAGTTTGAGTAGCTCAAGAGAAGGTAGCCCCGACAAGACGAATGTATCAATGCCGTTTGCAAAGCCCCCACCCCTGATGGCGTCCAAGCTTATTGGGGCAGCCACGAGCGGAGTCGGCTCGTGGTACCCGTCCCCGCCGCAGCTGAGGCCAACGGCCATTTCCATGGCTCATTTGCCTGTTTTTGCAGCTTGGAACGACACTTAGAAAGAAAAAAACAAAACCCTTTTTTTCCTTTTTGTTGATTTCCTTGCATTTAGTTTAGATTTAGAGCGTGAAAGCTTAGTTTTTTTTAGTTGCATGAAGGTGAAATGAAAAGAAAGAAAGCAAGAAAAACGAAGATGATGTTTGGGAGGCAAGAAAAACAAATGGGGCTGTCGAAGGGTGGGTTTGAGAGAGGAGATAGAATTTTGATGTCAGTGGGAGAAAAATGGGGACTAATGAATGACACAACCATGGGGTCCAATTTCTGTGTCTGTAATCCAATTTTTTTCAAACCAAACCTTTTGGCTCCTTATTGCAAATGAAAGAAAGAAAGAAAATTGAAAGAAATTTTGTGTAATGAAAGAGAAAAGAGGGAAGAGCAATGATTAAATTCTCTATGATTTGATGTTAGTGAAATTTAAAGTGTGTGAAAGGGGGGGTTTTTAAATTATTGAATTTTGGCCATCACTATTTATTCTTTATATTAAAACAAAACACCAGCTAAGTACAAAATATTTGAGCAATAATGTAAAGAAAAAGGTGTGGGCTTTGACCCCAATTTGCAGCTGAATCTGCATTACATCRTGATTGCAATTCTCTCCTTTATTACATTTGCTTTTAAAAAAGAAAGAGTAGACATTCCCATCTCTCCCACTTGTTCATAAAAAAGGACTCTTCTGTGAGTGTGCTTTTTTTATTTTTTATTTTTTCAAAATGATTATTTTAAGATTTCTTTCTTAGTGGTAATTAGTTAGGGCTTTGTCGGATTTGGTGTAATATTTGGTGCTTTTTTTTTTTAATTATTGTTCTTTTCTTTTTTGGCCCAAATCCCACTTGCTAATTAAGTATATCCTTTTAGTAAAAGCTATTCCATGTCTTGGTGTGGACGTGTTTTTATTTTAAAAGGAAAGGAAAAGAGAAAAAAGAACAAAATTGAGATAATCAAAAGAGGATTATTATTATTATTATTATTATTATTGAAATTAAACGTGATGTACCCACGTGTAAGTTGGAATTGAAATTATATGGGCTAAAAAATGATTGGGGGACGAGAAAATGTTGGCGCAAATCCAGGAAAATGTAAGGCTTAGGCTTAGGCTTAGGCTTAGGCTTATCTGATGGCAATGGCTATTTTCTTTAGAGCTCTTTGGCATGTAATAATACAAGAGAGGGAGAAGATGGTACCCAAAAATCATAGGCCTCATAGATTTTTCCATCCAAAAAATATATATTTAATATTATATAAGTTATCACCGACAAGCAGGTTTTTCCCATAGGTCCCGTCCTCGAGGGATCCGCCTAAATGGGACGTGGAATCCTCGTTTAAATTCCCCACGGGGCGGGGATGGGACGGGGGAATACGTTCCTCATCCCCATTCCCCGCTCCTTGCCCTGCACCTTTTTTTTTTAATATTTATATATATACATATACACACTAAAATAATTATATTATTCTCTTTAAATATATATAGGTAAAAAAAAATCATATATTTGTTCTCTACCCATCCGCGTAATATATTTGAGAGAATTAGGACTTATAAATTAAGCAACTAAATAAATTTTCTTTAAGAAAAAAAATACTTATTGACAAATAATTTAAAACATAAAAAAAGAAATAGTTAAAAATTTCTCGGGGGAACCCAATCCCCATGAATTCTCCAGGGGAATCCCCACCCTGATCTCCGCGAAATTTCGTAGAGAATTTCTCGAGGATGTAGGATTAAATGGGGGGCGGGGATGGAGATGGGGAAGACATATCCCTACCTGCAAGGGAGTTACTAATCCCATTAACTATAGGTCATTTTTTGTCCATTAAAAAAGAAATTTATAAGGTCGTTTCAAATTTTTTTCAATTTAAAATCATATACATTGTTAAGTATACGTCCAAARTCCTACCTTGATTAGATAAAGATAAGGTTTTGGATATATAAAGTTCATATTTGACATGTTTGTCCAATATTCATGACCATGAGACTTTTTGGGTAACTTAGAAAAGAACTTAAATAATTATTACTCGATAAGTCTATTTATTTGGTAAATTTCTTTAATTTTCTATTCTATTTTTACYTTTTGTCCCCTCATTTTTCATAGCCTAGCTTTTGGTTACTGAATTTGAATAGGAGGAGAAAGAGCCTAGGATTATTATTTCAATGGTTATCAAACGTTATAACTTATTTAAAAGTTTTTCGTTTTTGTAACATTTATTTTAAAGTTCATATTTGACATGTTTAACATAAACATCCAAATTTCAATAATTTCAAAAATTTCAAAAATTAAAAAAAGAAGTAATTAACACTATTAAATATAATATGACTTTGAAGAGAAACAAAATAATTGATTGTACTAGGTTAGATAACCACAAAGGATTAAATTTACCTTAATTCATCAATGACCACGATGACCACGTAAAGTACTGTGTTCGAGCTCATGTATTGTCATTTCCTCCCAAGTTAATTAATATTGATTTCTACTTGGATCTTGTGTAAATTTTCAATTCCATGAGTGAGAGAAATATTAGATATATTAAGTTTATAGGTCTATTGGTGACTTAACATGTTTAAGATATTATGATTCCATTGACATTTTATTTCTTCTTATAAAATAAAGTTGCACGGATCGAAATATCAACATCTAAACAAAATCGTTCAAATAATTGAACTTTATTTTTCTYGGATTCTATGTTTTTTCAACCAACGCTTAGGAAAAAAAGGAAAAAATAATAGACAAGGAAGAAAACTTATAAGACTTTCTTTCCTTTTTAGTTTTCTTTGTCTTCTTTATTTTGGATTTAATTACGTTAAGATTCACTTTGTTGACATGCTTTTTCAAATCCAAAGAATCCAAATTGAGAAAAGAAATCCACAGTTTCTTAGCAAAAAAGAAAAGAGGTATTAAGAGCACTAGAGAAAGAAAACAAGAAAAAGAAGCCATAGAATTTGATATGAGAGAGAAAAATGACATTAGATTAAAGAGATAAAAAAAAAAAGTTGGATGGAAATGAGTTTGATTAGTCAAAAAGATTTGCAAAAGAGAGGAAACTCATCATCTTAAAATTTCTTTTTAAGCCTTGGGTCAAACAAACCATGCATGATTATTGCAGAGCTTAATCATTTTGTTTACAGCTGCTTTTGATTATAAGCCAAAAAGATTGTAATCATAAAATCTCCACAAAACTCTAAAAATGAAATAATTCCTCTTAGGCTTCGTTGTGCACGAGCTGGATTGCTCTAATTTCCTACTCATTAGTCATTACAGTCATTTTCAATTATGACTAGGCCTACTGCCGTACACAAAAACCACTAACTTCGTCAAAATTATCACTAAAAACATAGGAAGTCTCTCAAATTCTATGATATCATTATCAAATTTAGGTTAAATTATAAATTTACTCATCATGGTTTGTTTCAAATTAATTTCAAAAATTTTGATTTGGTTACTATCATTTGGGTTGAATTTCAATTTAGTCCATGTAGTTATGGTCAAACAAGAATTATCCTAGTTGTTATCGTATATACATAACACACRTTTTACATAGTAATGAATTCATATTTTTAAAATTTTGTTGACTATATGTTAGCTACTTGTATTTAAAGTTTATATTCAGATGAAAAATAATGAGTGGATTTTTCGAATATATAAATAATAGATTAAGGACGATTTATGAAGATTAACACACCAAAAGAACCAAATCGAAACTGAGCCCATAACATATAGCATGAAAATAAGGGTATTAAATTTTTATTGGCGTGTCGACACTTTCATGGTCATGAGTTCAACATCGACATTTTCATAATATAGTGAAAAAAAGGCAAAATAATCAATAAAATATCACTAATATAGACATAATATATTAGCATTAATAAATTTAACTTATTTGTTATTTATTTTTTCATTTTTATAATTTTCTAGAAATATCCAACCTCGATATTTAGTTTTTGTTCAGTATAACGAATTGAGAGTACGAAGGTTTGAACTTTCAAATTCAAGAATAAAATTACATGTCAGTTACCGCTTAACTATGATTAGTATTATATTAGTACGTATTAACTTGATTGAAACTAAGGGGGTAAATATATAGATTAGATTACAACGAAACAAAYTAAATTAATATTACTTTGAAAAGAGAGGGAAAAAAAGGGTTGGATGAGCAATATTTTGATATAATAAGGCATGCATGTCAATGCGTAGGTACGGAATGAGAAAAGAGAGTTGCATTGCAAAGATGGATAGAAAAAGAGTGGAAGAGGAGAATTTTCTTGAAACTTTCATGTTGAAAGTTGAGGAATGGCACGTCGAAATCAACTGGGATATTGAAAATAGCCTGATTCACTGCGAATGAAACCAAAAAGAAAAAGAAAAAGAAAAAGAAAAAGAAAAAACTTAAAAACTTTAACATAAATAAGAAATATATGTATGTTGAATAATTAATAAGAGGAGGTAGTGGAGGACATTAATGGAAGATGTCGTTACATGGAGGGAGAAGTTGGGAAGAAAGACAAGAGGATTGAGTGGTGGAGTACGACATTATTGATTCAGAGGTAGCAGTTGTCTTCTCCAAATACAAAACTGCAACGCAAAAGGACATCTGGAAAACGCATCGTTTCTTCTGTAGTTTTCTGCATTTGTTTGTAAATCTATCTATATTCATAAAATAAAATCAAAACTTTCTTTCTTATTATTATTATTTGTTTTGAAGATTAATTTTGGGATGGGGGATGTTTCGGTTGAGGATTCTTGTTTCTTCCGAGGAGACGAGACAACTTATGCTTCAAAACTTGCACCAATGATTCCCTTTTCGGCTTTGTCTCGTCATTTTTAGGTAAATGGGATCTCCAATGGTGTGGGGTTGGGGTTGGGGTTTCATTTTCATAACTTATAAAATTTGTATCTCTTTCTCTAGGTTTGATGCTTGGACTAATATTCCGGTGAAAAACACACACCTCTCTCTCTCTCTCTCTCTAATTTTGGGACCAAATTAATCGAGTGTATTTAAGGAATTTTATTTAATTTCATTGAGGTTGGGTGCTTCATTTTTCTTTTTTTTTTTTTCATTAAATGCCGATATGAACTTAGTTCAATAATAATTGACACGTGTCTCTAACTAAAAGATCATGAATTCGAATAATCTATTCCACTTGTTATATTAAAAAATAATAATAATAAACAACTCTAGGATTGGTAGATTGGTAGGTTTAGTTTATTAACACATCATTAACTAGACAAGTGGACGGTTAACTCTAGGATGGTGTGAGTTATTTATTATTATAATTATAATTGTATTTACAAACACCAGTAAAAAAAATTAATTTGTTTTTAGGGAAAAAATATATGTGATTATCAAAAATCGG